TAAATAAAGATCATCACTTCTTTAGAAATTGCCTTGTTTACGTTCGGATGCGAAACTTAGCAGATATATATGATAGGCTAAGGATCTTATAGGAAACCTTTATAAATCTAATATCTTCGCCTTTATTAAAGGTTCATCAGAGAATGAGATATGAAGATAGAATTAATTTTTATATTGTTTGGTTTTCATTAGTTAATCAATTAAGTGTACGTGAAGCCTGCTTAACCAATGAAAAACAAACGATACAAAAGATTAAAACTACCCAATTTTTTTCTCTTACTTTTCTTACAGGGTGCGATGGGTAAATTGTTGCCATTTTATTTTTTTAATTTCGCGCATGCGCATTGTTTATTTTTGATTTTGTCGATTGCACAGTTTAGTAGGGTAACTTGGGCACCAACTGTGAGAAATTAACTCCGACAGAAATTTGGAAACGACATGCTGTACTGCTTGGTATTCGCGCTGGAAGCTCCAATACGAACGTTTGAGAGTGGGTGTCAATCTGAGGACAGTGCAAAGGATTCGGAAAGAGTTGGATGAGTCTAATGGTGATTACAAAGGTGTTTGGAGTGATCACTAGTGATGGTGACGTTATGCCTCCATTCATCTTCCCGCATCTTCCTACAGGGCCTCAGACTCAACACGGAGGCTTAAATCTTGGGTCAAGAGGTTTGCTGCTGGAAGACGCTATTACAGGACTTTGCACCATATGACACAAGCAGAAGAACCCAGTTATATATATATATATATATATATATATATATATATATATATATATATATATATATATGGGACTCATCAGCATCAGTGTTTTTTCAATTTTGCTTAATTTAGTCGACAATTTATCCATCGCAACATATATATATATATATATATATATATATATATATATATATCAAATCGGTTTCGATCTCAACTTGAAGCAATCGGATGTCTAGCCATACTGATGAGCTGTGATACAGCGAAACAAGCTTGTATATATATATATATATATATATATATATATATATATATATATATATATATATATATATGTATGTAAAAAATAAATCCTACCCTGTACATTGCTTTGATAAAAGTCCTTCAGAGGATGAAGTGCTTCGACTAAGTATAATTTTTCCCTCTTCTCTCTTTTTTTATTCATTTTGTCTTTTCTACAGATACACTCAATCTGAGAATATATATATATATATATATATATATATATATATATATATATATATATATATATATATATATATATATATAAGGCCTCCTGTTCTATAAAGGATCTGATGACCAAGAGTTTTAAAAAATCCCTTCTCGGTCAGGCTGACAAATATTTACCATATTTGCCTGTGGTATTATCTTTCATATAAATAAATGCGAATGTCAGTGAGTCACACTTTTTTTAATTTTACTTCTAAAGGCCGTAGCCCAACATATAATACCATTTTGGAATCAGGCTGACTCCGTGAGCAAATTCATAACATTCCGGTTCGGATCCGGTCCCACAATCCTGACATTTTGGATTCCCAAGTTTTCCTTACTTCAGTTGTTTTCGGCGAATTTTTTTTGTATGATAACAATTTTTAATTGCGAAATCCAGCGAAAGTTACACATGAAATAAAAATAATTGTTTGTACGACATATGTGCATCAAATTTTCTTTAAATTAAGTGGTGGAAGAATAATTATCGTTGAACTTTTAAATATAAACTTAAATATTAAAGCAATACTTAAATGCAGCGATCAATTTTGAGTTCTTCTGTAGTTTTTTGTTGCTTATCGCATAAGACAACAGTATCCCTCGCAAAAAGAAATCTTCGCCAACAGATGACCAGATTGCAATCAAAATAGCCAAAGCTGAAGCGAAGAAAAGAAAGTCCTGTGCAAATGAAAACCCAGATCAAGTGGCAGCCAGGAGAGCTTCAAATACTGAGAATATGCAAAAATTTAGGAACTCTCAAACTCCTGAACAAGTCAAAGGCCCAATCAAAAGCCCTCCGCAGGAGATAGCGTATATGCCGTCCGATAGGGCGCATTTTAAGCTAGCAACTTTATATATTTTTATGCTTTTGCTCGCTAAATACAAAGCTCAAGAACCACTCAAGGTATAGGGTTACTGAATAAGTTGTTTTAGAGAAGGATTTCAGATTATGAGGATAATTAGGATAGATAACAGTTGACCTTAGACTTAAAGAGCTTTCGATCGTAATGATTGAAGAAGCATCATGTAAGGAGTATGTGCGTGTGTGTCTTTTATATAATACCGAATTTTCATAGTTTTAACCTGAGTTCCTCTCCGCCCGCAAGTTAAAAAAATCACCAATCTGCGCCACACCCAAAAATGCTTACCGACACCTGGTTTAAATAAGCAAAATAAAAAAAAAACAACAAAAAAAAAAAAACGAAATTTAACAGATTCATCTGTATTTGCTCGTAAATGCAGTAGACTCTGGTTATTGTATCTACAATGAAAATAAATCAATTCATGGTAATTAGACGGTTGCCTCGATATTATGAATTAAGATGAAAGCAATTTACATGCGCATAATCTCTGCTTCAGTATAAATTTTATACTTGGATATATAAGGGTTAGCGTCTCGGAATGAGAAATGGGAGAGTCGAGTTCGAATTCCAGTCGAATTCGTTACATCCACTTACGCGCAAATACACTTGGTAAAGTTACGTATCCATACTCTTCTGCCCAGAGCTGTGGGTAAATAGAAGGACAGACAGGGCCCTATATCCTTGGTTGGCAGCCAGTCTAGAAGGAAAACTCTGAATTCAAAACATTCTGGAGAGGCTATCTTGCACAAGACAAACCACTACAGCGATGACTGCACTGCGTGGTAAATTTCAGGGGACATAGACGATTTTCTCGATTACTCAGACAAACTTTTTATCATTAAGCACAGCGAAAACAAATTCAATGAAATTTCGAGGAAAAAAATCCCGTATCATAATTTAACAACATCCCTAATGTTTCATAGACATTTTAAAATGGATCTGCAGGAATTACTTACAAGTCAATGCTAGAATCTGGTGATGATAACAGACTATCTTCATTAGATTCACGCATAGAACATGTTGGCGATTATGGTTTTCAATAACTTTCTATCCTTTATTTACACCATTTACTTTCGGGCTACTGTGATGAAAAGTTCATAGGCTGATTATGAAAACGCGTGAAAAAATGGATCCAATGTTGCATGGCCGCCAATGTCCAAATGATAACCAACACATGGTTCCAAGAACATCCGAGACGATTATGGACATGGAGGAGCTTAGGAAGAGAAACTAAAAACCAAATGGATTACATAACTATCAACAAAATATTCTGGAATGCAATGGTTCACTGCAAAAACCTACCTAATGTGGGCAACTGAATTTAGGAGAAGAAGAAGAGAGAGTCTTGAAGCTGATCCAAGCTGGAAGGTGATGGATGACAGGTGATAGCCTATAAATAGCCAATACAATTAGCATAACCCGTAAGAGAATGGAGAATATTCTGCAAAATGAAGGTTTCTGCTCGCTTGGTGCCACTTCTTTTGACATCTGATTAAAAGCGCACAGGAAAATGTGACATCACAGGAAAATGTGACGTCACGGGAAAATGTGACATTGAGGCTGATCTATATGGTTTCCGTTCATAAACCAAGATGAGTCTTTGGTTCATCATTTTGAGTCAGAGAGTAACAATCCATGCACTGGAAACACCCCTCCGCACCTCTTCGAATGAAGGCCAAGTTTGTTTCATCTGCAGGGAAAGTGACGGCTTCTGTTTTTTAGGATGCAAAGGGCATTGTGTTCATCGACTATCTTCAAAAGGGCCACACCATCACTGGAGAGTTATATGCCAACTAATGCAGTTATAAAAGGCTATCTAGACCAAACGTCCAAGAAAACTGACGATGTTTTATAAAGACGATGTTCCAGCACACAAATCTTTGGTTTCAATGTCTTCTGTGTACAATTGTGACTTTGGACTGGCTGATAACTCCCTCTATTCTCCTGATTTGACTATCATCTGTTCCCCAACATGAAAAACACTTGGCTAGGAACCAGTATTGCAGTGATGATGACGTCATATCTGCTGTGGACTTTTCTGACCAACATGATGAAAGTTTCTTCACCAATGCAACACCGATGGAAAAACTGTGTGAATTGCTAGTGGGGCTTCGTAGAAAAAAAGAAAACAAACCCTCATTTAGTCATATTCCATGAGAGTATATTGTTCAACATATGAACTTTTCATCCGACGCATTTTCCACCTTCTGCTAAAACACTTCCCAGATATTTAAACTTCTGTACTTTTATGATTATGACATCTTCAAATCGTAGTTTGTATCTTGCTTTTTTTTTCTCTTGCTGATAACCTTATATTCCGTCTTCTTACAATTGATGGTTCGTCTTTTCTTCTCTTTATTACCTCTATGTCGACTCCGTGTCGCATTTCTTTTTATTTACCCATTAACAGTAAAGTTGAAAATTTCTAAGCATGAAAAATAAATAGCAATATTAATTTTAGATACACACACACGCGGACGCGCGCACACACGCACATTGTTATTAATGAAACAATCACATCACATTATTTGAAACTTACTAAAAGACAAGTTATGAAAAATCTTAAATTAATTCGAATTTTGGAAAAAAAATCATAGATGCGCCATAAAGTTTCAAGATTAAAAAAAATATGTTGAAGTTTATTTGATTTCATAAATTTATTTATTTTTTGACTAATATCGGGAAAGATAACAGAAGTTTATGAAATATGCCTAAAAATATTGGTATCATTTAAATACAGAAGCTTTTATTTATTAAGCTTAGCATAAAACTAATACAAAGACACAAATATGGGAAATCTCGTGAGAATTACCCATGATCAAATGGACAATGTGGCTAAACATTACTCCATGAGGAGGCGTCCTATGAAAGTTGAAAGTTCATATATCGCCATCTTTTTTTCTTTTTTTTTCATTTTTTTAAATGTTCAGTTTTATCCCTGAGGGCCAATTAAATGTCATTTTTGCCCTGGAAGTATACTTGCAAAAAACTTTTGTATGTTATCTGATTATTGTTGGAGTCCATGGTGGAAACAACTTCTGCCGCGTTCTTGACATTCATTTTTTCCAAGCCTTTCAGAACATCAGTCTTATCAGCGCTCAACATGTCTTCTTTGGTAAAAAGCGCGAATATCTGGCGAAGGTTTCTGGTACTGGAACAACAACAACAAGAATAATCGTTTTATTTATAATGCAAAAAATAAATAAAAAACAAACATAAAAACAATATCTACAATCAGTTTATAATTATAATGTTCGAAATAAAACAAGAAGCGTCCATGTGGAATAGATAGACAAATTGATTGATTCGTCTTCTACGGTCTATCAACCATTTCGTTTGAAATAGGGTCAGAAACTGGATATCAAGAAAGGTTTTATGAAATGGCAAGACAAAAAAAAAAAAAAAGAAATAATTATTGTATTTAATGGTTATCATGTTTTTAAACATCCACACAAAATCTCAAAAGTCGCCCACTTTAGGAAGTTGAAATATCTGGCACATTAATGTTTACATAACACAATAGATTAGTTGATTTGTTTTGTCACGGGTTATCAACCCTTTGAAGGTTATTTAAAGCCGAAGCATATTTTGGTTGATTAAAATAATTTTGCGAGTAAATATTGCGTTAACAATCTGTTGAGAATTACAAATCTGCCAGTTACAAGCCCTACTATTTAACCCATAGTAGGGGGAGATGGATTCATACCTTTTTCAATGGTATTTGCGCATAAGTGACCGCAACGAACCTGACTGCAAATCGAACTCGGCTCTCCGATTTCTCATTCTAAGCCGCTAACCATTACACCAACCACGCATCCAAATGATACCATAGACTACCAATACCTGTACCTAGGGTAACTCCCTAATGATATATGGCAAGCTAGTCTGGATCGATTTAACTCTCTCTCTCTCTCTTTCTCTCTCTTTCTGACTGGTTCTTCGTGGCACATAAGGCCTATACAGAACGTCGCTCTGTCCGTAGTTGCCGCTCGCGCCTAACCTCAGGATCGCCAGCCTATTGCTTCCGTCTTCTCGATAGCCCTTCGCCGTCGTTCTTAGTCCCCTTTTCCCTTCGGGAGATCAGGTCAGTGCCACGTTGCACTCGTAGTTTGGGTCTTGCCTTAAAAAGTATGTCCGATGACCTCCACCTTCTCCCCCAACCTCGTACCTCGACACAAAAGTGTTCTGCCGAGGCAGAATGAAGCAGTTCCGCCGTTTTCCCATGGTCTCATATAACCTAATCTTGAGGATCTTTCCTAAGTTGTCATGAAATAAGTCAATACAGCTCTCGAATTCCTTTTCCAGGTCTTGCAACCATATCAAAGGACATGGGCGACCAAGGATCTTGGTGCTCGTGTCTGTCTTGGTCGCATTCTATACCTGCTTCAACCCACGAAAAGCCACCCTAACCTTTGACACATTAACCTTAATATCTTTTATGCCAACCTCTTGTTTTGAAACTTTCGCACCAAGATAGACAAAACTATCGATCTTACCAATCGGTAGTAATTGATCTGCAAGTGAAACTTGTTGACCATTACACAACGGGGAGACATAAAATGTAACAGGCTTTCAATTAGGAATTTAAAAATCACAATAGAAAAATGTTTATTTAGAACACTTAAACTCAGAATCAGAAAGAGAGCTGAAATTTCTTGGAAACACCGAGGAAGGAAGGTTTGGCTAACTTAAGCCTCACAGGGCATATCAAGAGCAAGAGAAAGAATGTAAGGCAGCGGGCCACTTAGCTGATGACCTTGTGTGATGAATAGTGGAATGGTGGGCGGGAGGCTTGGCAAAGGGAAAAAACTCTACGCTGTTAAATATTTTTTTTATAAGATTACAGAAGAGGCATAGTTTATGCGGATATTTGGGGAAGATAACGGTTAGCTCTTGACTTGACCAGGTTAAGATTGTAGTTACAGGGTAAGCATCCTCTTGGTAGTCGGTTCCACAGAAAAGTGGTTCGTGGGAAGAAGCTGTTCGACTAGAAATTGGTTCTTATCAAAGGAATACGGAGGAAATTAAGGTGGTCCGCTACAATGTGCTTAGTGTGGCGTTTCAGTGTCGCGAAGGTTAGAACTAATGAAACTAAAGAATGTAGTTTATCAGAGCAATTTCCATGGAAGTAGCAATAGAGCAATAAGAAACTTGCGTGAGAAAAAGGTTGTAGGGTGGAAAATAATTTGTCACCCACCAGAACGCAGAAACGCTTTTGGAATCTATTGAGGTTGAAAAGTAGGGAATAGGTAGCTCTTGTCCAAATATGACAGCAGTACTCTATTTTCAGTCTGATCTGGCTTTTGCAAAGTCAGAGGAGTCAGTTACTCAAGGAGTCAGTTACTTTCTGGAGTGTTAAAGGCAACCAACATTTTTTTTCTGCATCTTTAGCGATGGTTCGTATGTACGAGTTCCACTTGAAGTATAAGTTGATATTGAGGCCCAATAGTTGCTCAAGGCATGAAGACATACATTCATCGTGATTAGTGGTAGTTCAGGGTCCGATCGGCGATGATAGAATATAACTATTTTGGTTTTCGAGTCATTGAATGTCACCAGCCAATTTTTTTTCCGCTGAGATGTTACAGCGAGATCGGGGGAGAGATCAGCTGCCAATCTCTGGCCATCTCGAGTGAACCTATATAGTGTTGTATCACCAGCATAGATATTCTCAAACGACGGGAATATAGTCTTAGGCAGATCATTTATGTAAAATAAAATGAGGGTTGGTCCGAGAAGCGACTCCTGAGGGACGCCTGCATTGATTGATAGGACTCCTGAGGACTTGTCTGTTAACAACTACATTGTGACCAAACCGTTAGGAAGGATATCACTCTTGCGAAAACTCTTTCAGTGATTCTATATATATAGAGCTTGAGCAGAAATCGCTTGTGCTACACCTTGTTAAACATCTTTGAAATATCTAATGGTCCTTGAGATGTGTTTAGTGCCTCATTGATTTTGTGAGTAATGGTAGTTAGGACATCAGCATTGGATTGAACTGATCCAAAAAACATACTGTTTGTCACTCAAGAGGTTGTTCGTATTTCGCCCGCGTTCTTGAAAACCGGGCGTACGCTTGATACATTCCACAGACTTGGGAAGGATTTATCCTTCAAGCAGCGGTTAAATAAGTTCGCTAAAATCGGGCATAATTCAAGGTTGATATTTAAAGAACATCCATTTTTTCTCCGGGCAAGTGCCTTTCTTAGGGTCAAGCTTTTTGATAAATCTTGAGAGTTCCCGGGCTGTAATAAGAACTACTACTGAGATTCTGATCAGTGAGAAGGGGGAAGTTAAGAAGAGATGTCCAGTGTCTTCTAAAGCTGAATTAAAGGCAAAGATTGAGGCGAAGAGTTTAGTTTATCTGACGAGAAAGATATGGCCCGAGGCCATTTATAATATTGGACACAGCCGCTTTGCCTCTATTCATAATTTGGTTGATGTTCTTCCAGAACTCCCGAAGTTCAATTTGTTTTCAATCTTGGCCGGGACAGCTTGTGCATAGCTACACTTTGCATTTTTTTCAGAACTTCCTTGCAGCAATCGCGAGCGGTTCTGAATATCTGTCACAAGGAACGGTGTAGTTCCTTGTGACAGATATTAAAATATTGATTACAGTGAGCTATGGATGTAGCGCAAGCAGTGGGTAAACCAAGACTGAGTGTTCAGTTTTTGCTTGAATCTCTTTTTGGGACATAAAACTATCCCTTCCAGAAAGCATGCATTCTGAGACTAGGGCAGCAGTTTTGAAGTCAGAAGTTTATAGAGAGCCATGATCGCCCATCCCTGAATGGACAACGCGAAGAAGATAGTGGGACTAATGTCCTAATCTATTTTGTTATTTCTTTTGTTGAAAATAATTAAGACGAGGACATTCGTCAAAACGCAAGTAATAATACCTCATCCTAGGAATAAAAAAATTGTTTGCTGAAAATATTTTCAGAATCAATAATTACCTGTTGTTGAGGTTTTGCATAAAAGTGACAAACTGAGACAGGTTGACCGAAGAACCCAGTCGGCGTAATTGTTTCTGTTGATAAAAGAGAAAAAGTTAATTTTATTTCTTTATTTATATAGGGTAGGTAATCCAAGTAGAGCGTATCAATATAAAATATTAAAAGTGATTTACAAAAGAGAGCTCAATATAATTTTCATTATAGAGCATATAAGTGAATTACAATCAAAGAAGCGCAAACAAATTACTACATACATTACATCCATGGGAAAAACCATTTCCCTGGACTTGTCAGTGCAAATACATTTGTTAAAAATGATAAAAATGTATTTGCATATATATATATATATATATATATATATATATATATATATATATATATATATATATATATCGAGTTTCGATCCCAGCTTGAAGCAATCGGTTTAGGCATGCTTTTATATATATATATATATATATATATACAGAAAATAAATCCTACCCTGTACATTGATAAAGTCTTTCAGAGGATGAAATGCGTCGACTAAGTATAATTTTTCCCTCTTTATTCCTTTTGTCTTTTCTACAGATACATACAATCTGAATATATATATATATATATATATATATATATATATATATATATATATATATATATATATCGTACATAGAGTGCTGGCGTTAATAAAATAGTGCTCTATGTATTATATATCAATTATATATTAATAAATATACTTTTTTTTACTCACCGGTAGCATGACTCGAAGTTACATAATTTAAATTTTGTTAAATATATCGGATTTTCGCAATGATGAGGCATAAATTAATAAATGTCCACCATTGCGATAAACCGTTAGATTTTAACAAAAAAGATGTGAGTTTGTGACGCCAAAGCGTGAAACCCAGGGTCACAAACTCACATCAATCCAACCAAATATGTTAGCTCTATCTCTGATATTGAGCGTTTTCTAATAAGTTCCGCGCATATAATATATAAATAATTATACATATATATATTTATTTATATTTATATACACTTTTCACACACACACACACACACACACACACACACACACACACACACACACACACACACACACATATATATATATACACAAAGACAAACACACAATACAAAGAATATTTACAAATACACTTTCATGTGTATACTAGAAAAATCCAGAAAATTTAACTGTATCTGGTCTCTGGTCTGAGTTGCAACGCCACAGGGCATTAGTATAGTGAGACCCTATACTCAACTGGTGAGTATAATGGTCCCCGAAGTAGAAGATTATATTATTATAATAATTTAATTATGTGACGAAGTGGGCGTGCGAGTTAAATGATAAAAGGAAACTTGAATCTTCATTACTTAACATTTTATTCAATTCAATATTTCGACATTTACTCTCGGCCAGTCTGTGGTATGCGGCTCCTGTAGTGCCCTCAACCTAACGTTGATCTTACATCCTCCATCTGTGGTGTGTGAGAGACTGCCTGAATCGTCTCTGGAGCAGTTGTTTATATTATACATCTCTGTGGAGGTGTGAAGTCATGTACTTTTGCATTCGGCGGCCGGGAGCAACCTCTGCACCTGGTTACCTTTGACGGTTTGGCGTGCATTTTAAATGCAGTTGGCATTTTAACATAATTACATAATTAAACGTTTGCACGCTCATTAATTTCATTTGTGCGCTGTTTGCAAAACGACGTTTACGTGTGCGTATAGCCTAGATGTAGATAGATAAGAACAAAATCTATTGTTTGTGATGCGTTTTGATGCTGGTTTTTCAATGTTCAAACCTTGTTAGGATTTTAAAAGAGGTGCTAGGAAAATTAAATTAAAAAGAAAGAAAGAAAGAAAGAACTATTTATTGTCATATACTCACCAGCATTTCATTTTCTGATAACTCAACACCTTGATAAATTAGCAATTCGAATACTTCTCGTCCTGTCAATAAGCGATCTCCATTCATGTCCATCGCTTCGAATTCTGGCGTCAAATACTCCAATGAATCTCCGAAGGCCGCCATATTTAGACCTGCATTAAATATTTAAACAGTTTGTAAATCAGATAAAAAAGTAACCAACACATACACTCACAAACGCACGCGCGCGCACACACACACACACACACACACACATATATATATATATATATATATATAAATATACAGAGAGAGATGTATAATCAATTAATTTTCTTATATTCTTTCAAACTCGTTACGAGCTCTGGTGAGGTGCTGTGTCCGGTGTCGTCTTGTTAAAAGAAGCACTCTGGTGGATCGTCTGCTCTCATATATAATGTTTTGTCTTATTAGATTTTATGGCATTTTTAAATGAGGTCATATATACAAACAAAATTATCCACAGAACGTAAATAAAAGACAGTTTAAGAAGCATTGCAATACTTAACTAAACCGAACTTAACTCGTATCAACATCTCCTCATATCTTATTTTCTTAACTTTCCTCATATATTTTTTTAAATCATTTTACCCCAAACAAAGCGATAATACTATATCGGTTGCTATGTTTTTCACACACACATACACTCCAAGTCATTTTATTCGCCTGCGAGTGACTAATAAATTACTACTACTTTTGTATAGGACAATTTAGCCATCGCAGTTGTTCCTTTGAATCTTTTGGTTCTGAGCATACTTACCTATTCTGTTTAGTACGGGTTAATTTTTAACCAATCACTATTTTTAATGTAAGATCAAGTTTTCCCGCGGTTCCGTGGGAGCCTACTTCTTTTGTTTAAATTGGGAGACTTTTCGCAAGTCGCCAGTAAGATCCCAGCCGTCAACACAAATCCACGATCTTGCTCATCACACTCTAACGCACACACAGACACAGAATTTTGTAATTACAAACTTACATTTTCTCTCTGTAACTTTCGCCAAGTACAATCAACCAGAACTTTGTTGATTCAAACCAGTTTATTCACAACACATTTCAAGCAATTGTATTCTTGGTGTTATTCATTCTTCACATGCAAACTTTGCTCTAACAATTATTTCGGAACATTTATCTCACAAGAGAACTTTCTTCAAACGGTTGATTACAATCAATCTACAGTCAAAAGAAAAGAACTGCCTTCTCTTTAATCTACATTGTGAATACGATTTTATTTCATGCTTGTTGTTGCATTTTATTCAATATATATTTGTTGGTTAACAAATTGGAGTTGACGTTATTATTTCTTGAATCCTGTACGTGGAAGAATCATTAATATAAATAGTAGTAGTACCTATATATTTGGTGTTTCTGCTACATTTAGTGAATTGACCCCACGCTATATTTGGTACGTACGCTAAAATACCACTAAGATACAAAAGGTTACAGAGAATGAAAGAAAAGAAGACGTTAGTAAGGAGATAGAATATATATATATATATATGTCGTAAATATAGCACTTTTAACAGGGACCACAGTTATTACACTGCGATCCAAAGAAGTGCCGATATTAATGAATATTTTAGTCATTCTTTATGGATACTCTCTCATTTCTTATAAAAGAATGAAAAATTATTTTTGTACGAGCCGGAAAACACTGGTTTTCTGACAAGTGGGCTTCCGGAACATTGTCGGATTGACGATTTTTGTGGATCAACCAAATCATGTAACTTTAAATTTAATGATAAGTTTCTGATCCAAGGACGATTTAAGCAACTGATCCAAATTATATAAATTTGAACTACCTTTTTAACTTTTGACGCACAAATTCCTCATTACTTCATTATGTTCAGTTTATTTATCTTAGTGTCTATAACAATCATTCTATTTTAAGAGTATTTTTAGAATAACTGTGAACAATGAAAAAGAAAGAAAAGAATTAGATATTAGACGAAACGCCTTCAATTTGATCTATACTAGGTTATATGTGTTTATTTTTAGAAGTACTTCATGCAGATGTTTGTTCTTATAAATAGTCTTAATCTGAGAAGTCATTGACCGTTGTTATATAGGAATGCACTAATGCCAAAACAACTTTTTTCTCTTGATTAACTATTCAATAGAATTCTAATGGCCGGACGTGAAGAATACCAAAAAGTGTCTACATATGTAAATCTGCCAGTAGAGAATCTGTGTGCAAAGTTTGTAGACCGCTGCTCTGGAATGGGATCAGAATAAGAGTAGACAAAATGCCACAACGTAGAGCTCGTAGGGTGAAAGAAGCAGCATATATGGAACTTGGAACTAAAAAATGAATGTCTAAGAAACCTTTATATGCATTTTAACATTATATAGAAAAGAATCATAGGAAAATTAATTTGAGCAGTTAAGGTCTTCCGTATCACGATAAATGCAAATTCATTTGAAAAACCTTTGATGAAGACATCGTTGACTCATTAATATTTTAGATAACAGGATTCAACAAAAGGCTAGTTTCGATATTGCAGACATCATCATCATCATCATCATGAAGCCCATGACTGGGTATGGTCGCAGAGTCGCTGTGCAGCTGATCACCTGACCATTTTCCTCTACATATCTAGATTGAAGGCAGGACAGGTATTCATTAATGGGCAGTATGACTTGAGTAAGTATACCTGGCGGATCCCATCTCTCATTGTCCAACCGCATGTCCTCCATTTTCAAGACTCATTTTGGTCACGGAAACGTGGTCATTGATTCCATCGAGTGAACCATCTGCCCTGGCCATTGACTTCAATCTAGGACCCCCACTACACATACACACTCAGCGATCTGCTGCGTACATAGCTAAGGAGACCGGTCTGACACACTATTCTATATTGCCTTTGACCCTACATGTAGATTCATCCGCTCTTTGTCAGGTCTTGTTTTTAATACTGATGGGTGTCTTGTCACCTTCCTTACCAGAAACCTCTCACGGAATCTTTTTAGTTGCCGATAGTCTGATCATGCGGTAGGTATTACTGGGTTACATAGCACTAGTAGCACTCGTAGAATAAACTGGCATATAGTTTGTAGACAGTAGTCATCAAATTCTATCAGTTTTTATGAACGTAACAGTCAGCTCTATGATTTTGTAGGAATCTTTTGAAGCAGGAAAATACCTTAAGAAATAATATTGAATTTGTCAAAAACGAGAATATAATTGAAGTTATAAAATCATGATATTTGATAGGAATGATCACATTACAGAAAACTGCACAGTTTAGTTTAAGAATTAACAAATATAAAATATTACACAAGAATTGGAGAATATTGTTAGAAAAATAGAAAAGAGTGCTGAATTGTTATATAATATTTTAATGGCAGTAAATGCTTTACAAATTCCTCAGCTGAAGGAACTTGAAGCGACAGAGAAGTGGTTCTACCTACAAATGCGATAAAACTGGTGAACAGCGAGTAAGTCTTAAGGAAAATAAGAACATCAATGAAATTTATACTTAAAATTAGAAAGCGAAAGTTGGAATTTCTAACCACATAAGGAAAGAGGGCGAGGAAAATCATATGACATGGAGTAAACAAGGGGAAACATCGAGTAAACTACTTAACGTGTTTGTATGAATGGATAGAAGAACAGAAACAAAGAGGAATGGTATAAAAGGCGGGAAGTTGTGGAGAGCCATTATCACCTACTTAATGAGGTTGTTTGAATGGATAGCAGATTAGGAACAAAGATGGATGGCGAAGGAGAAAAAATTACTTAGAGCAACAAAAGACAGGAGGATGTGGAGAGCCATGATCATCTACTTAATGAGTTTGCATGAATGGATAGCAGAATAAGAATAAAGAGTTATGGCAAAGTGTAGAAAATTACCTAGAACAACAAATGACGAGAAGTTGTGGAGAGCTATGATCATGTACATTATGAAAGAACTTATACAAAGAAAAAGACGAAGGTCATCGACACCGATCAAGAAGAAAAAGGAAAATATGATAAAGAAAAAAAAAATTTCCGGTATTAACGGCACGAGGAAAGAGGAAAACGGAAATACTGGATGAACAATAGGCGTAATCGAGTGCGTGCATCGGTCAAATATAATGCCTATTCTAATTTAATTTTAAAAAGTATTAGTCAAAATCCCAAAGTTTCCCATTTCGGCTTTATAAAGCATAAAGCATCTGGAGAAAAAAATATAGTTACTTACTATTTTTCTACACATAATCCTCTTTCAAAATATCTGCCCACCCTGGACACACATGAAAAACAAAAGACCTTCCATATAATTTCTCTTTTTGAACGAAGAAAGTGCTTTAAATACTCGCGGGAGATTAATGAACCTTTTTGAAAAGACTGTACTTGATGTAAGCATAGTAAGCAAATGGCCAGTCGAGTTAATGGTAATTCTAGATAGATAAGTGAAACTGACTTTAGTGACAAGTCCCACAGTGGCAGGTCAACTGCTACTACGAAAGAGGATAAAGCTAAACAAGCTGATTCTCTCATTGCAGCTGACTATTGCAAAACTCTGTGAAAGCCTTCAGGGAATCTATTCTTGGCCACTGAAATGTTTGTGAAAAGTGGTTTCCTAGGATGTTGACGAAGGCGAAGATAGTTGTTGCATCCCCAAAAGATTTTTGAGCTGTAAAATACTGAGAGAATTCAGAAAACAGATTTTTTTTAATGATGATAAGTAAAAACAGACAATTCTCACACAAGTAAGAAAGCAGTTCAGAACATTTAAAATTTAATTTAAAAATTAAAATTTAAATGAAATGTCAATCGTTATCTTCTGTCTTCTTAATTTATGTTCTTTTATCGTTCCCGCTCCTTAATAATGCTTTTATTTTCTGATACTCTTTCACATTAAGTAACCTCCTGCTTCTTAGAGGCTTTATTGCCTTGCTTGGAGTGAAATGATTAAAAGTAATATCACTATTATTATGGCAGATGTCCGGACAAGTTACATTCCTTAGTCCCACCAGCTTGGACCTTCAAAGCTTAAACCCGCCATGCCACGTCCACAGTGGTAACCTATTTCCATTCCGTTTGTGTTCCTTTGATAAAAAGTAAGTTCCACTGAGACATCTTCTTCCCCAGGACAATTACTTTCTGGAACAGACTCCCGAGAGAATGCTTCTCTGACAACTACAATCTTGC